ACTCAACTCAACAAAGGGTCTGAATAAATATTACAAATCTCTTTTTTTCTTCTCTGTGAAAAAGGGCATTTTAAGAAAATGATATCCTAAATTTGTTCTCCATTTTCACAAACTATTCACTTATTTAACTAGACACCAAGGATCTAAATACCTCCCTCAAGACATCAAACACACAACTGCAATTTTAGTCCAGAGCAACCTCCGAAAACAGTTCTTAATGTTTAATATTTCCTAGGCTGAAGGAGAATAGAATTCACAAATTATACTAATACAAAATGAGGGCTAGTCAGAAGTCTTAAATGTTCGTGAGGATACATGGTAAGACCTTCAATTAGTTCAATAAATAAAAAGAAATTGCCTGTTATAGAATAACAAAAAGAACCACATGGATTATACAAATTAAAATTTAAAAGGTAAATTTTGAGCAGAAAAATATTTGAATTGAAAAGCTACAGAATTGGGCTTTGGAGTCAAACAGATTAGGATTCTGTTAGCTTCATCACATTATTGTATAACCTTGAGATAAATTCCTTAGTCTATCCAATCCTCATTTCCTCAATAGCACTACCTTTAGGGGCTCTTAAAAGGATTAAATAAAACTGTGTGTGTTTATTTTGTATATATGTAATATATATGTATATGTATGTATATATATACACACACACACACATATATATATATACACGCAGAGACTGATTCACAGAGAAGGTGGGATTTATTTAAATAATGGAAAAATTGTTAGCTGAAAGAAGGAGAAATACATTCCTCAGGTACTCCAAACTTATTTATAACTTTAAAGAATAAGGATAAAGCCAGGTATGGTTGTACACACCTGTAATCCCAGCACTTAGGTGGCTCAGAGAGAAGGATCAGAAGTTTGAGGTCAGCCTGAGCTACATATCAAATTCTAGGCCAGCCTGCAATACACAGTGAAACTCTATCTCAAAAAGAAAAGGATAAACTTCTCAGATTACCAGTTAATTAAATTATAAATATGAGGCTATATCATTAATCTTGAAATGCTTTTCTATATAAGATATTCTTTACTCCTTCTTATTTTATAATTCTTTGAGGTCCTACGTCTCTACAATTTTATCCCATCCTCTTCCTAAAGCCTTGACTTAGACTCTCCTTACTTTGGTTTTGGGATGACCTAAGCCTTAGCCAGACAGACACACCTTAAGAGTTCACTTAGTATTCTAAAGACTTCTGGAAGAAGGCCAGAAGACAGCATCTAAGAGGTTAGAATGAATCCATGTGGCATAAGGAAAAGGACGCAGGCTATGGAAACAGACACTGGTTTAAATACCATCTCTGCCACTGTTTAGATATATAACCTTTAGCAAGGCATTTAGCCTCTCTAGATCACATTTCCTCATCTGTAAAATGGAGATAGTGTTCTTGTCAGGATTACAGAAATGCCTATGACAATTCCTGGCACATAAAAGGCCAATTAATGCTAACTATTATTAGGGTCCAACTGCCAATTGCCTTCCTAAATGCTTTGCCAAGCTGTACTTTTCTAACTGGCAAAGAAGTCCTGCTGTTCCAACATTCCCATACCTATATTCAAAACACTCCTTTTTGGTAATCTATAATTAACTCAATCAAGAGCTTAAACAATTCAGGGCAAGAAAGCACTAACTCATCTCATTCTCTCCTGACAGTAGCAAAGCCAATGCAAGGGAGAATCTGTTTGCCAAGAGAAATAGGGAGTGTTTGATCACTATCATTACTGATAGTGATTAAGCACAAACTAGTTGAGTTCTTGGGCTTACAGCCTTATTGTTAAAAAGTTTTAACTTTTCTAAAATAATTCCTCCCCTGCCTTGTCTTCTCTGCTGTACACAGACATTCCTAGCACTTATTTCCAAGAACACACGGGAAAAAATCCTCTCAACTGCTACCACATTCACTGTCAAACTTACCTTCCCATTTCACAAATTACTTCTTTAGAGATTTTTGGTTTTCTGAGTTCACTTAACTTGGACTTATAAAGAAGAACATTAAATACATCATAACTATAATGACAAGATCTGGCCCCCAGAGCACCACAAGTTACAGGATAGAGGCAGGTACCAAACAAAGATAAAATGTGACTTAGTAACCTGCACACCATATGTTCATTCCTATTAACTACTGCACTTGGGAATTCTGGCTCTTATAAAAAGTTTACTTCCCTTGTGTGGCTGAGCACAGTAAGAGAACCAAGGAAACTGATGACAGATACATGAATGGAATAAAGAAAACTGCCAATGGAAATCTGACTTATAAAGTTTGTACCCAACAGTTACAAAATAAAAGCAACAGCCATGGGCTATGAAGCCAAAGGCAACTATTTCAATTCTAGTATTGCCAGTCCCTCCACACACAAAAAAAGTAGAAGAGTGTCAAAGTCAGAATGTTTATTTAAATAGACAATCTAAGAATCAAGAAATCAAAATATCACACTGCAGTTTTTTGGTGAGGTGACTTTCCATTTGGGAAAAGAAGGGAAATCTTACTTTTCATTTAGCCAATTCAATATCAAGAAAGTAAAAGATTCTGTCCCTAAAAAGAAACTCAAACCAGATCTGGTGGTACACATCTATAATCCCAGTCAAGAGGCTGATGCAGAAGGATCATGAATTCATTCAAAGCCAGCATGGACTACATGGCAAAACCGTGACTCAAAGGAAAGAGAAAATTAAAAAAAAAAAAAAAAAAAAAAAATAGGCTCAGCAATGCCCTTATGGCATACCTGCATCCTTCCTCAGAACTTCACCTGATTAACTTTCTGCAGAAGTTGTTTTTTGGTGCAATTAACATTGTAAGACAAGCTCAGCCCTGTCTTCCATAGCCTTGAGGGTGCTGAGTAAATCTAGAATCATGGAAGGTACATTTTGATACTGAAAAAACAGGAAGAGAGTGGCTCAACAAGGAAAATGGCCAAGAAGCATATCTAGAATTAAGAAAAACAAGTCTGGCGCCAGTGGCTCACACTTATAATCCTAGCTACTTAGGAGGCTGAGATCCAGGGGATCAATATTAAAGGATGGCCTGGGCAAATAGTTTGTGAGACCCCCATCTCCAAAAACCACCAGAGCAAAATGGACTGGAGGTGTAGCTCAAGCAGTAAAGAGCCTGCTTTGTAAGATCAAACCCCAGTCCCACAAAAAAAAAGAAGAAAACAGACTCCAGAGTGCTGTCCTGTGATTCCTTTTTTAACTTCTTTACATAGAATCTATTGAACTGTGTGTACCTTTCAGAGTTCATGGTGGCATCCACTTATGCCAGGATGGAATAAAGATCAATTTTTCATAACAATAGCTATCATTTCTTAAGACTCTACTGTAAGTGCCAAGTTCAATGCTAAGACCTTTACACGTATTTCTAAACCTCAATCAGAACTAGTATCCTCAATTTACAGAAGAAACTGATTTGTAGGACTTGGAAATTACTCAAAAGCTAGGATTCAAACCCAGGTTGGCCTGACTGTAAAGCAATTTGTTATACATTTTTATCCTCAAAAGATCTAACTGAATTACAGATTTTAGACAAAAGACTTTTAATCACAAGAAAAAGATTTGGCCAAAGTTATAAGGTACCTCAACTAATGAGAAACTTGCTTCAGATTTCCAGGTCACATCTAGGTATTGTCAGCACTGGTACCAGGGCTGCCTCTTTTAACTATTACTCTTCCCAGAAGTTTAATATTACAAACCACAAGGACATGTCTTAAAACATTAATAAGAGAATTCCTTCAGTCTTGCCTCTGACATCATTCATCACTATACTTAGGTAGTTAGAATGAAAAAGTTACAACAGCTAACCCTAATCATGAGGCAATTACAACAAAATGTTTGGCTGGACCCAAGGCTCCAATTCAACTGAGTCCTACACAGTACAACCAATGCAGACTTCACATCCCTTTATTGCTGTTCTGACAAAACAATTCAAAAATCATTCACAAAAATTTTTTTAAAAATCACTGTGCTCATATTGTGCCTAGGAAATTAGAACCACAATCCCTTTTCAGATGGTCCACATGGTCCACTGTCTTTTCCAATGCTTGTCTTTCTTTTTTTCTTTCTGTCATTTAGCATTATTTGTGTGTCATGTGTAGTGTGTGTGTGCGTGAGAGAGACAGAAAGACAGAAAGAGACAGACAGACAAACACAGATAACCTGGTTAGCCAATGTGCGGGTAACACAGAAGCATTACACATCTAGGTGCTCTTACTCCTTGGTGTTCTGAGGCCTCGAAACCACGTATGAAAGAAGGTGACAGCTGAGATAGAAAGCCTCACGATGAAGGCTTTCCCAAAAGTAGCAGCATTTTTTCCTAACAGTTTCCGATCATAATACAGGGACCAACAAAGCAATTTTCCGCTTTACATACAATCTAATTATCCTGGTGGCCAGTTACTGAGCGGGGAGAACGAACCTCTCCAGATAAAGAGCAAAAAATCTCTGCATTACCCTTCTACAACCAAAGATGCAAGGGTACTGCAGTAGCTGGACAGGAAAAACATAGCATTAGCACTGCCCTATGGAAGCGGTTGGCCGCAGAAAAGGAGAAAGTCATCATCTGTACGGAAGCCAGACAACTGCGAGCAGTTCAGTGCGAGCTAACTACTGCTTCCTTGCTCTCCAAGTAGGAAGGATCTTTATTGCTGGTCCCGAAAGCGGTAAGGGTTTTCTACACTATCGGGGTCTCCTCCCCGAATAGTCCAGAAAAGAACACGCGGGAGTGTGCTGGAGGGGCGTACTATAAGGCGCTTTTCCTCCCCCCCCCCACCATTCCAAGTAGTCGGGCAGCTCGCCACCTCCATGTTACTCATGGTCAAGCGCGGCCGTGCCACCTGGAGTCTCGGCCCCCGGGGGCGGCAGCTCTGGGCGTGGGTTTAGTGGGGATCAGAAGGGAGGGTGTGGAGGCTGGTGCTTCCTGTGCCGGAGGATCTGCAGCTCCCTTTCCTCCCTCCCTGCCTGTCTCTCCGAGCGGCAGCCCGGTCCCAATACCTTCTTGACCGTGCGCGGCGCCTCGGTGACCGTGCCGTCGGGGCTGACCAGGGCCTCGCCGCCGTCGCGGTGTCGCTGGTGCTGGTGATGCGGGTCACTCCGTTTCATGGCCGACGCCTGAGGCACCTTCCCGGCCGCGGGGCTGAGAGCAGCGGCGGGCCCCGAGCCCGGGCCAGGGGCCGGGGGCCGCTCCGCCGCGGGAGCTGGAGCCTCGGGCTCCCCGCCGCCCGCCGGAGGGGCCATGGCGCCCACCGCCGCCGTGCTCAGTCCTAGCTGGGGCTCCGCCTCGGAGGGGCTCAGGTCCTTCAGCTCCACCTCAGGTACCTTGGCGGCAGCCGCTGCTGACACAACCTGCACCGACATCACCGCCTCCGCTGCAGGCGCCGGCTCAGACTCCAGCTCCAGCTCGGGCTCGGCCCCGCCTCCTGCCTCCCTTCCCCTTCCCTCCCCCATTCCCCCACTCCTCCCCTCCATCGCCTCCGCTCCCACCCCCTTCCTCCGCCCGCCAGCCCGCCCGCCCGCCGCCAGCCTCGACCCCTCCAGCTCCGCCCCGCCCCAGCCCGACCCAGCTCCCGCGCGAGGTGCCACGGAACCTGTAGTGCGCTTGCTCCTAGCCGCACACGGCAAGAAGACTCTGGGACCTCAGCCCCCGGCCTGCACTGCGCGCGCAGGGGCACTCTGGGAGTTGTAGTCCCTTCGCCTTCCCCCGGAAAGTGGGATTCTGTTGCGGAGAGGGAGCTCCAGGCGACTAACGGAAAGGAGTGAAGGTGGGTGACGCATCGGAGGGGATGAGGAAGAGAAACTCTCCAGGGGAGTTGCGGCTTCCGGGGAGGGAATGCCAGAAACCCCAGGAAAAGTGGAGGAGGAAGAACTCGTTCCCCTGACAGCGTGAATTTCCTCTGTGGCGCGCGCGTCATAGATCACGTGGGCGGCCTTTGAGGAAAAGCGGCACGTCACGTGAAGAGAGCGCGGGCTGTGGTCCAAAGGTTTAGTGTTTTCCGCAGTGGAACTACTTTGACTATAACACCTTTCCGAACTTCAGTGACTTGGTTTTTAGAAGAAATGAAATAGAAACTTGCCTGCCCTGGCGATTTCTAGCACATTTTGGGTTTGGAAGCCAAAATCAATACGAAAAGAATTTAGTTTTCAGTAGGTAAAATTTCACTGCCGAGGAATTAACATGCTGCTTCAAACGAGGCCAAATCTTTCGACCTAGTAATTCTCCTAGGGAGATAATCTGAAATTCACATACATATGTAGCACAGTGCAATATTAAAATATAAAATCCGGATAATGATTTCCTTAGGGGATGCAATTTGGGTGATTTACTTTTTTTAAACCTTCCTGAATTTTTCAGTTTTACAAGTTCAAAGGCAGCTTTATATTTAATAACAAAAAGTAATCGGGGAGGGATGTAGTGGTACACCTCTGTAATGACACCTCTGAAATCCCAGCTCTGGTGGAAAGGAGGGTAGCCACTGAGGCAAGAGGATCTAGAGTTCAGGACCAGCCCGGGCTACGTAAGACACACACCCTCAAAAAAGTATCTGAAACTAATATCCAACAGAAATGAAATGGTTACAAGCCTTTAAAAGTTATTTTCTGAGAACTTTTTTTTTTTTTGCAGGTACTGGGATTTGAACTCAGGGCCTCACACTTGCTAGGTAGGTGCTCTACCACTTGAGCCACTCCAACTCTTTTTTGTGAAGGTTTTTTTTTTTTTTTTTTTTTTTTTGGTTCTGGGGCTTGAACTCAGGGCCTACACCTTGAGCCACTTCACCAGCCCTTTTTTGTGAAGGGTTTTTTTGAGAATAGGCTCTTGTGAACTATTTGTCTGGGCTGGCTTCAAACTGCCATCCTCCTGACTAGGATTACAGTGTGAGCCACCAGCGTCCAGTTTATGAAGGATTTGAACTATTTGCCTGGACTGTGATCCCCCTGATCTCTGCCTCTTAAGTAGCTAGGATTATATGCATGAGCCACCCGCGCCCGGCCTGAGAACCTTTTTAATAAGGGGGAAATACATGCTTTTAATGAAAATATTAAACCTAAAAGCAGGAAGCAAAATTCCACCAGATTTCATGTGAATATTACTTAAAGAAAATACACTAACATGCCATTGACTCTGGTGACGTATGAGGTACTCTTTTTCTCTATTCTCAAACTGAGGCAAAGGGGTCTTCCAGTTTATGGTTGTTGAGAAAGTGACAGCCCAGACAACCTAAGTGGGCCACTGGACATCTACTTTGTGGAGTAACTTTTTTCCTTGGTGGTAAAAGGAGAAATCACCTGCTTTGATCTCCTCCTTTCCTCTGCTACTTGCACTTGGAGAATCTGCTCACTGGTGGAATTGCCTACCTTGAATGGAGGCTTTCATTTCCTGACCTCCAACTATGTGTGGAGGGCACTGCCATCTCCACAAGGTCCCAAAGTATCCGACACAAGAGCTTCTTAAGCTTTCTCTTCACATTTCTGGCTTTCAGAATTTCCTTCCTGTTTACAAAGAACCAGCCAAAGCTTCATCCTCCAGCTGTCGTGGCTGAGATTAACGGCTCTGTAACTGATTTCTTTCTTCCCCCTAATGCACAAGGGAACTTGTAGCACAGCCACCTGGCAGGCATAGGCACTCCTAGGCAGCAGCTGCCTACCTGGACAGCCACTTGAACAGATTACTGAGGGGGTGAATTAATTCTTCAGTGGGATGTGGGTATAAAACAAAAGGAGTTAGAGCCCTGGGAAGAGACAGATATTTATCATTCTTTATGTATCCTTTATGTATCTGCTTGGAACTAACAGGTCATACTCTTCCTCAGTATTCAGCTCCATCCTGTGTACCTGCTGCATCTGCTGTCTTTGTTGCTGAGAACACCAAGCATGGCTGACGATGGAATCACTATCCTGAAAACAAGATTATGAAACAAAAGCTTATGAACTATTTAGTGAAATATTAAGACTACATAGGCCTTCTTCCTTCACCTGGCTCATCCACTGCAGGAGACTGGAAGGACTTCTTTTGAGGTATCTGACCAGACAAGGAGAGAAATGAAAATACTGAGAATTCTCCAAGGAAATAGGCCAGGCAGATCACCCACAGTGAAAACCACAGTCAGGTTCAGGCAGTACTGGGAATCCAAATCAGGCCAGCCACTTGCTAGGCAGGTGCTCTGCCACTCGATTCATAAGCCCTTTTTTGCTTTAGTGTTTTTCTGTAGGGTTTGGAGTCCCCTGTCTCATGTCCCTCCTCCACACTCTTGGGGTCCTCTACTTATAGCCTCCCGTACAGCTGGGAACACAGGCTCACTGTCACACCTAGTTTGTTTTCATTTTATCAAATTTGCTCCCAGCCTATTTTTTATTACTATTTTCTTTTTTTGTTTTCTCTCTTTTTATTTCCCAGCCCATTTTTTAAAAAGAAAATAAAATGTAACAGATTTAGCTGAAATCCCTTTTGACCAACACCCCATCTCATTTTCCCTCATCCTCTACTTTCCCACTCCTTCAATTGAAAATAACTGGCTGGAAATGTCGCCTAACAAGTGTTAGGCCCTGAATTCAAACTCCAGTACCACCACCAAAAAAAAAAAAAAAAGGAATGAAATGAAAACATATGTTTGTGTTTCTTGGTTTTCCTTCTAGTCTATTTTTATGCTTTTTTTTTTTGAGACAGAGTCTCAGAAATCTTGCTATGTGACCCAAGTTGGCCTCAAACTCTCAATCCACTGGCCTCAGCCTCCTGAGTAGCTAGAATTACAAGTGTATTCCACCATGCCTGGTGTTTTGTACTTTTTCTGGGGGAGGGGTGTAGTTCTGGGTTTCAATTCAGGTCCTTAACCTTGGTAGGCAGGCATTGTACCACTTGAGCCATACCTCCCGACTGCCAGTCTGTTTACCTCCAGTCCATTTTGCTCTGGTTATTTTAGAGATAGGCTCTTGCTTTTTTCCAGGCCAGCCTGGAAATTTTTATGCTTCTGTCACTGATGGGATGATAGACATGAACTACCACACCCAACTTTTTCCATTGAGATGGGGTCTCACAAGCTCTTGCTGAAGTTGTCATGGAACCACAATCCTCCCAATCACAGCCTCCAATGTAATTTGGGATGACAGGTGTAAGCCACCACACCCAGCTATTGGTTAACATGAGGGGGTCAAACTGACTTTTTGCTTGCTGGCCTTGAAACATGTTCTTCCTCATCTCAGCCTCCCAAGTAGCTAGAATTACAGGCATGAGCCACTGGTGCCTGTCTTATTTTTATACTTTTTTACATGCATACAGCTATGTGGCCATAGATAGTTTATATATTGCTTTTTGTTTGGCTGGTTGTTTTCTTTGTTTTGTTTTTTGAGACAGAGTCTCATGTAGCCCAAATTGGCCTCAAGCTCACTATGTAGTTCTACTCCAGACATTGAAAGATCTTTTCATCCCCTGAATTTTGAAATTTTACAAAGCTATATATCAACAGAGGTCTGTTTTCATGCATTTGGCATGTAATGATTCCTTCCATTTATTCTTCTCCTCTCCCCTCCCTTTCCCCCCTTCCCTTCCCTTTCCTCCTGTCATCTTCTGTCCTCTCCTTTCCTCTCCTCTCCTTTATCTCTCCTAGGGCCTTACACATACTAGGTAAATACTCTGCCACTGGACTACACTTCCAGTCCCCTCTCCATTTTCTTCATTACCTTTTAGCAATTATATTATTCAGATACATGAGATTTCATGAGCCAGTCCTCTAATTTATTTTCTTCACTAGTTTTTAATTTTGTTTTTGAAATTATTTGTTTATTGCAGTGCTCAAACCCAGGACCTTAAGCATGATTGGCAGGTGCTCTGTGTGAGCCACACCTACAGCCCTGCTTTTGAAATGCAAGGAAACAATTTGTTGAAGAACTAAAAAATAACTCCTAAAAGATTGCTTTTTCCAGAAAACTATAGCTGTTCACTGCATTACATCTAACATATTAAGGTGTGCATTAGCTACAAATACAAAAACTAAGGCACAAGTTGCCTTTCTTCAACAATCTGAGCAAAAGTGAAGTGCATCTTTCCCATTTTTAATTTCTATTCATTTTTAGAAATTCTACCAGCCTCCTTTTTAAATGGTGTCATGCTTATTTTCTGACTATTCACTCCTTGAAAACAGTGTTCTTCACAAATATAGTATCATAAGTCTCCAAGGATATTAGTGATTTTTTTCTTCTTTTTGAGATAAAGTCTCCCTATGGAGCCCAGGCTGGCCTCAAACTCACAATCCCCCTGCCTCAGCCTCCTGAGAGCTAGAATTACAGGTGTGTGCCACCACACCATGCTTAATGATTTTGTAAAATCTTGATTGCTTTTTTTGGTGGTACTGGCACTTGAACTCAGAGCCTCATCCTTGCTAGGCTTTGCTAGGTAGGCACTCTATCACTTGAGCCACTCCACCAGCCCTTTTTTGTCATGGATTTTTTTTTTTTTTTTAAATAGGATCTCAGGGGCTTCAAACTGCAACCCTCCTTATCTCTGCCTCTCTGCCTCCTGAGTTACTAATTTTTTTTCTGCTTGCCTGTGTTGGTCTTTCATATCAGATAGAGATAGCTTTGGCTGTCTGCTCTTACTGAAGAGGGTGGTACTAGGCCATGCCTGTAATGCCAGCTATTTGAGATTGGGAGAATTGAGGTTCAAGGCCAGCCCAGGGAAAAAAACAGCAATTAACTGATCAAAACAGTTGTTAGCTCTGAGTGGTGAGAATACAGGTGTCTATTTGGTGGTTCTTTGTGCTTTTTCTCGTCTTTTCTATTTTTTGTACAAAAAACAAAAATCAAGCCAGCAGGGGAGCCGTGCCCAGACTGCTTTAAGGAAGTTGGGGCTGACAGAACCAGACCTCAGCACCTGAGAGACTGGACACCTGAGGTTGAGAGAGTGCTAAGGGAGCCACCAAGCATCTGAGGGCAGAGCTGCTGCAGAGGTGAATGTCAGGGCAGTGGAAATCAGCTCCTCTGAGGAATTTCTTCCAGGATCTAATTTGGGAACTTTCTGTAGAAAGGTAGTCACTATTGCTTTGCCACGAGATCTGGTGCTCTTACAAAATCCTGCAAGCTTTCTTTACTGTGGGGGAGTTGGCAGTCCTGGACATCCCGCTGTGACCCAATGCCTGCATTCTCAAAAAAATGGGTTCACGCTACCCTCTAGTGGTCAGGATCTGCCTCTGCAACCAGACTGGGCATTTCTCCGCTTTAAAGACCCAGAGTGAATTGCATTCTCCATCCTTTACACAAGTAATTCCCCCCAAAAAAGGACAGAGAGAGGGAAACTAGTAGTTGAATGTCCATGGAGATGAAAAGAAGAAAATCGTAACACTTTCTCTTATTTCAGAAAAGATAATTAGCTGCTGAAGTGGCTCCAGTGGTAGAACACCTACCTAGCAAGCGTGAGGCTCTGAGTTCAAACCCCAGTACCACAAAAAAAAAAAAAAGATAATTCAACACTGATAAGTTTTATTGTTTTAAATACTGTAGTTGATAGACTAGAATATAGGTCTAATGCCCGCGAAAGAAGCAGTAATGGCCAGAATGAACAAGATGACTAGGAGAATGGGGTAGCCAGTGGGAACACAAATGGGAAATCTGGATAGGAAGAAAAATCAAAGGTCAGAACTGAGTGGAAAAATTTGAATTGCAGAATCAGGAATATCCTGAGCCCAGCATCTGCCACTTATTAGCTGTGAGGTTGGTAGTGCTGGGGATTGAACCCAGGTCCTCATGCATGTTATGTAAGCACTCTACCACTGAGCTACATTCCCAGCCCAGGTGTATGGTTGTGTGCTAGTCATTTCACTTCACTGAGCTTATTTCTACATAAAATTAGCCCCTCCAATTAGATCACTGTCACAGTGGCCGAGAGCCCACTGAAGTCAGAGGGCCCTGGTTGTTTCCCAGCATTACCAATTGCTGTGTGGTCTATTGCAAACTATTCAACCTTACGATGCTTCGGTGTTTTAAGGGTTGTAACAGAGCCTCACAGGTCTTTTGAGACCCCTGTGGAGGGCTTGGAAAAGCTTCTGGCCAATATTCTATATGTTAGCCATTATTGGTATAATACATGTGACAAATGGCTAGGATAAAATCACTGTTAGGAGTGCTCTTTTCACTTCTGTTGGAATCCAGCTCTGGTCAAAATGCCTGTGTCCCCATCACATAAGCAGCAGTAAAGGGAGACTCCCCAATACCCAGGTCTATAGATCCTATCCTCTTTCCTCCACAGATCTCCCTGCCACGTGATCTTGAATCCTTGTAACCTCATACCCAGTCTTCTACTCACCTATCTGAAGGAAGAAACTAACAGGCTTCCCTTGACTTTTAATTCCTTTGGCTGGCCAGAGGAAGAAACTGTGGATCAGAGTGTACCTGGTCCCATTGACATCTCTGGTAGAAGCCAGAGGCCCCGAATCGGTATGAAGAGCTATATCCATCCACTCACCATCAGGAAGATACCTACTACCTACCGTCACTCCAGGGACAAGCTGCATGCTTGTGCTTGATCACCTTGTGCTCAGTGAGGCATCTGGGCCACAGAAGAGCTTTTGTCTGTACAGAGCTAACCTGCTGATGAGGGCATCCATGACATTGAGCTGACTTAACCTGACATCTGACTGTCAGTCATGACCTCCTAGCATAAGCTCTGGGCCTATCAGAACGGCCTCAGGAGGATGTGGAAGATGAGCGATCAGGACCAGGTAAGAGGGCAGGACTGGGGCTAAGAAAAAGCATACCATGACTTTATACAAAAACATTTTATTTACTGTTTATATTTCTTCTTTCCATCCCCATCCCTTGACCTGGAACCCCGCCAGCCTGTGAGGCTTTCTGCTGTCTGGTTCTTGAATGTGGGGTGCTAAGGACATGGTTAAAAGTTACAAAGAAAGGTGGGGATTCTCCTCTCCCACCAGTTGTGGAAGTTGAAAGAAGCTTTCCTGTCTGGCTGAAGCTACAGTAGCTTCCCAGGGTAGCCCCTCAAGTCAGAGGATCCATCCCCACCAGATGGATCTGAGGAAGAGATAACATGCTTTCAGAAGCCTGGACCCTTTCTACCTCATGTAAGCCAAGGCTCTAGAACTGGACCAATCTCAGTTGAGCTAGAACTCAGCAGCTGGGTGTGTGTGTTTGCGGGAAGGGGGGTGGCGGCGGGGGGTGTACTACAGTTCTGGGATCCTAACCAATAAGCAGGAAGAGGTTGGCCTTGTAGAACTCAGGTGGGAAAGGGTAGGGGTGCCAGAAAACAAAGGTTTGGAATAGGGCTACCAGTTAAGAGGTTATGGTCCAATGGGAGTAGGCACTTCCAGCATCACAGTCACGTGGGAGAAAAATAAGGGTGCCCTGGCCCCACTTAGACAAACGACACATGACACAATAAACACTTTGGGTCTGAGAGTGCCAGGAAAGGGCACCCATTGGCACAGAAAAGGGCAACCAGCCTTCATCTGCCAGATGTGGGCTTGGTTTGCCTCCCTGGCCACCACAGTCCACTCTGGGTACTATCACCCCTGCCTCTGCCATTACTGCCCCACCATAAGGTCTGCTGGAGACTGATGCTGCCAGCTAGACTCCTGCTTCGTGGGGCAAAAATCGAGAATTCTGAGCTCCAGGCCTCTGCCCCTGGGATGAGGCCTACCCAGGGAGATGTCTGGCTCTTTCCCACAGTCCTGCTGCATTGAGCCAGGCATATAGAACTCTCTTGGGAAGGCTCACAGGTTCTCTAGAAGATGAGAGCCCACGGAAGCATGCTCAGGGAGGAACAGCCTCAGAGTGGTTTTTCTTCCTTTTTCCTGTCCCAGTTCCTGCTCTGAGCTCAGAAGTCAGAGTCTGCATCCATGAGCTCTGCCTCCATCAGGTTGGTTCGGGAGTGAATGGGTCCCAGCCCCTGGCGGCAGCCCTGAGCCCAAGCTGTGGGAGCTGGGGCGCTCGGGAGGAATGGATCTTGACGGAGACTGGGCTCTGGGCAGAAGGGGTTGGATACCAGGGCCCAGGCTCCTTGTCGGCAGGATTCCCCAGCTCCCCAGGCTCCTGCAGCCACCAGACACTTCTGCTGGGGCAACTGAGGCAGCCTAGGAACAGTGCTGGCAGCAGGGACAGTGCGAAGCTCAGGGGCTGCCACCAGGGGGCACACCTCCTTCTTCCTCTTCCTCCTCTTTTTCCGGCCCAGGCGCTTTTCCAGCTCTGGGGAGATTTCTGCCTCAACCAACCACAGGTTGGCTTGTTCCTCTGGTGGCACTGACAGGAGGAAAGAACACAGCCTAGGGCCCAGCTCTGTCCCCACCACTCTACCCTTCCCAGACCTCCTGTTCTTGAGCTCTGGGACTCATCACTGCCTGAGCCTCTTCAGATCCTCTGGGCCATTCTTCCTCCCACTCTGGCAGCCCCAAGTACTCCAGTCACAGGAACCCCAGCCTCTGTGCTTTCTTACAGAAGCCTGAACCCTCATTACCTGGAGTTGCCATGGGGGTGACAGACACATCCTGGGGCAGTATGGCTCCTCTCCGAGCCACCATCTTGGTAACATGCTGGGCCCAGGCAGAGGAGACATCTGCTGAAGGCTCATTGAGGTCAAAGGCCAAACCCGCTTTGGAGATGGAAGGAAAGAAAGAATAATGACTTCCCAGCCCCTCTCAGTGACTCCTCCCTTATGCACCACTTTTCTTCTTTCCCAACTGGTCCCCCTGCCTGCAGAGACCACTCACCCTGTGGGTCTCTACCCATTCAAAATCTAAGGGGAGCAGCTCTGGTCCCCAGATGGCCTAACTACAGGGCAGAAATCCAGTCTTTGCCCCCCCCTGACTTATTCTAGCCCAGAAAACAACTACAGAAGGGGGAGGGAGCAGAGTTCTAGAACCACAGCACCAGCAAGCAGATCCTGGGGGCAGAAACAGAGGGGAGAAGCCCCTCAAGAGAAGGTGGGGGTCTAGAAAGGAAGGAGTGTGTGAGTGCCTTCTTATAAAGGAGTGCCTTATTCCTCACAGTCTGCCAAAGAACCCATGTGTCCTGGGAGCCAGCAACTCAGCTACTCAGGGGTCAAGTGGCTCAGAGGGCAGGGCCAAGGCTCACCCACAGGCCCATCATGGGAGACTGTGTGCATGCTGAAGGAGAGCTCCTGGCCTGGGTTCTGCAGCAGCTCGCGCCGCTTGGAGAAGGCCTTGGCAATCATCTTGCTCTTCTTGATCCGTTTGGGCTCATCATCACTCTGCCCAGTCAACCTGAGAGCAGGAAGGGCAGAGTCCAGAAGTGGAGGAACAGTGATTTCCCATCAAATCTGATGAAAAAACCTGGAATGCAGCCTCCTACCCTGGAGGGACTGGCTAAGGCAGTCTCTCAAGGACTGAGGAGTAGAGGACTTCCCCACAAAGAATCGAGCCTAGAACTCAGGCTCCTGTGTGCTTTGCTCTCAAATCACTTGCTTTCAGAAGATGCTACCAGCTGGTACAAAATTTAGCCCAGTCCCAGGCCTCCAGGACAGAAGCTGTCACCAGGGCGGTGGCGAACCGCTGAGAAGGCCTTGAGCAGCTCTTGTGCAGTGGTCTAGCAAACACAGCTACCCAGCGCTATGTGCTGCAGGTAGGACTAGACAAAGCCTAAAGGTGGGCACTAAGGCTGAGGATAAGATGTGAGGGACAGGACAGGATGCTGCTGACCTGCACCAGGTGCGTCTCCAGATGAGCAGCGTGGCCTTGGTCCAGACCCAGGTGCTCATGGCAATACCAGTTCCAAACATGGCAAACAGGTTGATCTTCTCCACCAGGAGGCTAGGGCGATTCTTGATCTCACAGTCAGGGATGGGTTTCTTGGTGGGCAGCCCGATGGTCACATTAGCCTGGCACCTGTGTCGAGGGATGGTCAACCGGTGAGGCTTTCTCAGTCCAGTGGCAAGGCACCCAAACTATTAATCCAAAGTGTGGGAAGAACCCACCACATGCTTTTCATGGTGCTCTTTGGTTGCGTGTGTGTGTGTGTGTGTGTGTTTGGTACTGAGGATCAAACCCAGGCCTCATGCAAGTTAGACAAGTGCTCTGCCACTGAGCTACATCTTCAGTCCCTCCTGGTTTGGAAGGCTCTTTGGAATCACTTGGGGAGTTTTTATGAGCTCCTGATGTCTGGGCCTCACCCCAGACCATTATATCAAACCAATGGTTAGGAACCTAGCATCACTGAGAGCTAAGCTTCCAAGACTGGAAGCTGAAACCTTTAAGACAGCCTAAAAATAAAGATCAATAGAAAAAAAGGTAATGAAGTAGTCAGGGAAAGTGTCCCTTTAATGGACATTTTAACTGCTGCTCCTGGGAGCAGCAGGCACTGCTCTTCTTTCAACAGCTGAGACGTTCACTCTCTCCGATTCACCCAGGACACAAAGAGCATAGGCAAAATGAGCAAACATGAGCAGGCTGTTAACCTGTCACAGAGCGATAAATCCCATGTAGGATTGAGAGTTCTATAGAAGGAACACAGAATTAGAGCACAATTTCTGTAGCTGACCTAGAGTTGGGCAGAGGAGCCAAAACATGAACTGTTCAAAACATGAACAATTAAAAATGCACCAGCCAGGCAGCCCAAGGGGTGCAGATGCAGGACGAAGTTAAGCAGACTTGAAGGCTATCTGCCATGTTTGACAAAGTGTACAACTGCTGATATCTTTGGTACCCAGACACCATCAGCCTCATCTGAGGCAGGGATCTGGCAGACCCTATCGCTGGAGCTCCAGCTCCCACCCCTGCCTCCTCCAAGCTGGGGCCCCTCACTCACAGCACGTAGTCCCGGAAGCTGCGCTCCCACTCAGCCTGGTTGAAAAAGTCGTAGAAGTGGCAGCTGAAGGTGATGAGCACAAAGCCAAAGGCCAGAAAGCCAAAAATACCTGTGAATTTCAGGGGCAGCATGGGAGATCATAAATCACAAACATAGCCGCAGTGGGAGGAGGCATCTGCCTCACCTAGAACTGAGAGCCCCCAAGTCCAGGGTGCTTCACACACTGGGCTCAGGTCAACAACTGCACTCTCCAAGATGAAGCCAGAAGGGCCTGGAGGCAATTATGGGAGACCCAGGTGAGAGGAAGTGGGCCTGCAGAAGCAGTCTTTGAATCTTCCACCAAGAAGGCCCTCTTCTTTTGAGCTGCCAACTACACACATACACCTTGTCCTTGTCCCAATAACTTACTGCCTCCTGGAGGTCCAGAGCTCCAGGAGGCTGCAATGTTGGGCTGCCAGGACTTCAGACCAAAGTCCCCTGGAAGCCACTCACCCAAGCGCAGCATGGTCTCATTGATCTTGCTGGCAGCCTTCTCACTCAGCAGCCCAGGGTGGTTGCTCTTGATGGAGAACAAAGTCATGACTCCTGAACAGAAGGGGACCTCAGACATTAGCAGGGGTGAGGCTGCTCTCCTGGGGGGATGGGTGGTGGGGGGAAGGGTCCAATGACCCTCAAGTCCTGGGTCTAATTAAGCCCATGCTGACTTAAAGTTTGGGGAACTGAGAAAATGAGAGAATAGCTGGTGGCAAATGGACTGGGGTGATTGGGACAGATCCCAGACAGATAGGAGAGGAAAAGAGCATCAGTCCTGGCCTGGCTGCCCCAAAGTAAGGCAGCCACGACAAAGCTGTTCTGATTAAAAAAAAAAAAAAACATAAAATAGAGACTCAAGATCAGAACCATTTAGGCTGAAGGTGTGACTCAAGTGCAGAGTCCTGACTTCAAACCCCAGTACTTGAAAAAAAAAGCCCAGTACCATCCAACAGAAATATAACGTGAGCCACACACGTAATCTCAAATTTTCTAGTAGCCACATTAAAAAAAGTAACAAGAGAAACTAGTTCCAATATATTTTATAAGCCTAATATATCCAAAATATAATCATTCCAGCGTGTAACCCATACCAAAATTATGAATGAGAAAGTCTACATTTTTTTTGTTGTGAAGTCTTTGAAATGCAGCTGTGTTTCACAACACATCTCAATTTGGACTACCTTCAACGCCTGTGGCTAGTGGCTATGGGACAGCATACTCTCAAAATACATTGGAGGCCCTGATACTCTGCCAGAGAGGGAGACAAGAAGGCTGAACAGAAGGCTGACAGTTCAGTGGGAGGAAATGAAAACTGACAAAGAAAACCCAGAGAAAATGAGCTAGATACTGAGGCTTATCCTGGGGTGGCAGATTGAGATAGGGAAATTAGGGACCAGTAAATCTGTGCATGTTGTGAAAACTGCGTATGTTTCGGGTAGGAAGGGGATGGAAAGCAAACTCCGAAAGATTGACAGTATATATAAAATTAGTGTGAGCACACACAACCGATGTCCCCAAGTTGGTCCACAGGAATAGGGCAGGTTATCCAGGGTGTTCATCAAACACCCCTGCCAAGGAGTGACAGGCTGAAATCCAGCTCAGGTTCTACTCAACAAGCCAGGAACCCTGGCCATGGCTTTGGAAGAGGGGCTGCGTTTTTCTGGCTTGCACAAAGGTACTGTCCCATACATAGCAAGAGCTCATGGTGCTGTGTCTAACCTGGAGGGTCAACTTCTGGGCACCATGGCCCTGAACAAGCTGGCTGCTGTCTCAGTATGACAGCAGAGCTGGCACTCTTGCTCCAATTTCACACAGCAGGTGCTCAAGCACTCTATGTTGTTGCCCAGCTGGCTTTGGCCTGGTCCTCACTCACCCCGGATGAGGAAGTAACCTCCCACGATGAGCACCAGGCCGATTGGAGCCAGTACAAAGCCAGCACGGTAGCGGTAGTCCTTGTAACCCACAAAACAGATGCCACTCACAGAGTCCCCATCCACCTGTGGCAGGAAGGCATGGCAGGGACAGTCAGTCACTGACCCCTTCCCCCAAGGCCACCCCACTCAGGTCCCAACCTCCTACCAGTCTACTATACCTGGGCCACAGCAAGGATTGCCACAGTGAGGACAAAAGGAAGTGACCATGTGAGCAGGTGAAAGTAGGAAGTCTTGCCCGAGAGAGGCTGGTAGGTGGTACCCAGGGCCTTGAAGGAAGTGTGCCAGGCATAGGTGAGGACCACAAACCAGACCACTCCAGCCATCAGGGCATAGTACACGATGACAAAGATGATGACACACGACAGGGTCTCATTGGACCTGTGCAGACATGTGGGGTGTTACTTGGGGAAGTCACACTGTACTCCCTCCACCCTTTCCCCAGACCCTGGTCTGCTAAGGTCTGGAGGGTCCCTAGGAGTCAGAGCTGCGAGATAAGACCCAGATCAGATTTGAAGAGGCTCCAGAAGCCACCCCTCCGAAAAGAGATGCAAATGATGAGGTTCTGAGGCTAAAGCAAAGGTCTCCACACTGGAGGCTTCAGGGGCAATAAGACAGACCTGAATTTCACCCTGAAATCCCACTTTCAAGTTCATTTCAAGTCCAACCCATCCCTTTTGTGGAAAAGTAGCATTACAGTCTTCCAAACCCCCCCACCCCCACCCCTCTCTCACCTCTGGATCTCCAAGACACTTACGTGGGCTCCCCAAGCCTCATGGTGCCATCTGCTCGGCAGACGATCTCCCTACGGGCACCATCCATGAACTGAGCCAGCCAGCCAATACTGCCCACAAAGAAACACGCATTGACGTAGAACAGAATAACTGCAGGGTAGCGATTGGAGTTTCGCCAATCAGCCACGAAGGTGGCCTGGAAGAGAGAGGCGGCCTCTGCAGGTGAGGACTGCTCTGCATCTGCTGCAGGTGCCCTGATCTGAACCCCAGAATCATCCATCCCCTGGGGCCCTCACTGAGTCGCCTCCCACCAGAGCCCCCAGCCTCATGCTGACAATCTGGCTCCCTTCCAGCTCTCCAGCGGGAGGGGCCTGGCCCACCCACCCTCAAGCACCGCTGACCAGGGTGAAGAACGTGCAGAGGCCGGTGACAGCTCCAAAGGCCGCGATGTAGCTGTGCATGTCCTGGTGCTCGGCCTCGGTGAAGAGCGGATTCTGGCACTGGATCCCACAGCCCTCCACGTCCTCGTACCAGCTCTTGGGGTTATCCGTCCTCACCAAGGGTGCTTCACATTGGCCTGAACTGTTGAACTTGATGTTTTGCACCTCATTCTGGGACCAGGGAAAAGAAGAAGGAAGTGCCGAGGGCAGAGGTTACTCAGGGGGCTAGCCTCTTGCTTAGGAACGGAGGTACCCAGCATACTAATGGGGGTGGGCTTCGAACCCCAGCTTTGCCACTCAGTGGCTGTGCAGCTGTGGGCTAATTGGCCTCTCTGTACCTCAGTTTCCCCATCTATGAGACAGCAGTACTTACCTAATGGTAGAGTCTAAGAATTAGATGAATAAATGTGAAGTGCTTATAATGGTATTTGGTACGTAGTAGATTATAAATCAGTATTATTATTCACTTTTACTGTTACTAATATCATTTCAGAGCTCTCCTTTCCCACCCCAACTAGCACACACACACGCACACATGCACACACACACACACACACACACACACCGTTCCATGCTGTCTCATATGTGCATTCCTTGGCACCTACAAATATGATAAACTCCAGAGTGGGCACTCAAAAAGTATTTGCTGGCGTGTTATCTTGGGTCAGTAGAGAAACCTTCATGGATTGGCCTAGGACCTGCAAGGTGCAGTTGAGTGTGTGGCTCGTGCAGACACACTGTAGACTCAGGGGCTCCAGGAGAGAAGGCAGTGGCTCCCCAGGATCTCCTTGGAACCCTGTCCTGTGCCATCTTGCCCCACAGAGCACTCACCGGGCAGCCTTCAGGGAAGTGGTCGGGGGTACAGCGCAGGAAATCAGGCCAGCCCCGCTCCCGCTCCACGATGGCACAGGGGCCTCGGGTGGCCTGGCAGAGGGTGCGGCTGGGCAGCTCTACCCGGTCATTCTCACACTTGGGCATGTACACAGCGCACAGCAGGGGCTGAATCACTGCCCAGCAGCGGGGGGCATTCCGGAGGCCTGGGTGGGGGGGCGTGACAGAATGGGCACGGTATGATGAAGACACCCCACACACACTCTGATTCCTGCAACCCTGGTCCTCCAAGCCTTTGCCACACCTCAGGCCCCTACTGCACAGACCTATCAGGCACAGTGTCTCTCAACAGGACATGTGGGCAGGACAATTCTGTGTGCCACAGGGCTATGCCATGCACTGCAGGGCATTCAGCATCCCTAGACCCTGCCTACTAAATGGCTGAGGACACTAAAGTCATTGTGACAACCAAAACATGCTGCCCCCACCCACTCCTGGAGCAGCAACTAAAAGAGGAGCTCCGGAGCGCAGGAGTGTTCTATTTCTTGATCAGGTGATGGTTACAGGAGCACATTCACCTTGGGAAAATCAAAAGTGTGATTTGTACACTAGCGTGTATGCCCACTATCACTCAATGATAGACTTCAAAACAGCTGCCATTTCCAAATTCCCGGCTAGGGAGTGGTAGTGCCTGACTGAGTGGGGGTGAGGGTGTTTTTAATCCCTCTACAGGCCTCTCTCTTCCAGGAACAGAAGGGCTGTGGGACACCACGCCCTTCCCAGGTCCATTCATTAGAAGCAGGATATGTTTCCCCTTGCCCAACCCCCGGAACCCTTGCTCCTCTTACCAAGCTGAGGTAGAGAGAGAGGAGATGAGGGCTTAAGAACAGGTAGTCAGAGAAGTCAGGAACTCCAAAGGCAGAGGAGGAAACAGGAGATCAGGTGGAGAGAAAGAGGAGGCTCCATTCAGTGCAGAGGGAGGAAAGATGGTGTCAGCAGAGGGAAATGCACAAAGGTCTCCCAACACACCCACCCCAGTCCAGGCCTCTACCCTACCTTATCCCAGTAGCCGGGCGCTCTCTGCTTTCTGTCCCCATGGTTCCTCCAGAATCATACCTGCTTCAAGGAACCCCTCTATCCCAAGTGAGAAGATGTATTAGGAGAATCCTCTGAGAATGTGAGAGCAAAGATGGGAGACTGTCACACTGTCAGGCTGGGAATTGAGGAGACAAGGAACCATTCTTTTATGGGGAAGGCAACAGAGTGATAAGGAAAATGGGCACTGCAATTAGCCTGCCTCGGTCCAAATCGTGGCTCCACCATTTCCTGGTTATGTGACCGTGGGCAAAAGTACTAAACCTCTACCTCTAGCCTCAGTCTCCTTATCTGTAAAATGGGGGTGATAGATTTATATTGCAGAACTCTTGTTCTGAGATGGTGCATTGAATGTGCCCAGCACAACGCCTATTCAGTAATAAGCACTCGGGAAAGACTATTATTACTATCGTGAGGCCCAGTCTCAGGCCTCACAACTCTGAGTCTACTCCAGGATGGGTGCTGTCCCATCAATCCATCACGAGATGAAAATATCTTAAGTGGAAAATGCACTTAAGACACCTCAAGTACTGAGCATCCTGGCTTAGCAACACAGCTTGCTGTAGCATGTTGTATTTCTTAGTGTGATACAGGAGCTGCAGATCACGGTCCTACCCAGCATCTGAAGAGAGGGCTGGACCACATTCACTAGCCTTCCAAATTCAAAACTGGAAGTACGATTTCTGTTGAATGCATGTCACTTTTGCACCATCCTTAGGACGAAAAGCTATTTAAGTTGAACCACCGTAAGTGAGGGCTGTCTGTACACGGGTACATACAGATTGTTCTGTATGTTGAATATGGTGGCCAGTGACACAACTCTATGCATTTGTCTAAACTCACAAAACCAGCCAAATGCCGGTAGCTCACGCCTGTAATCCTAGCTATTCAGGAGCAGAGATCAGGAGGATCTCGATTCAAAGCCAGCCCGGGAAAATGAGACCCTATCTCAAAAAACCCTTCAGAAAACGAGGGCTAGCTGAGCGGCTGAAGGTGGAGGCCCTGAGTTCAAGCCCCAGGACTACAAAAAAAACAAAAGTAAACGCACAAAACTAAACTTGTAAAAAACAAAATGTGAATTTTACTGAAAGTTTATTAAATAATACATTTAAAATGGGGCAGGGGAAAAGCTTTCTGAAGTCAAATGTAAATTCTAGAGGAGTACCCAGAAGTTAACCAATACAAATGTGTTGTTATTTTTTGGATTTTGTGATATTGTTTTTCCTGTTATTTTCATTTTAAATATTCTGTTTTATACTTTAAAGATAAATTCCCAGCTGGGTGTAAATTGCAGGCACACATCTGTAATCCTAGCCACTGTGGAGTCAGGAGAATCTTAAATTCAAGGCCAGTTCAGACCCTGTCTCAGAAACAAAATACAAACAAAAGGGCTGGGGGCGTGGCTCAAGTGTAGAGCGCTTGCTTAGCACACTGCAAGCCTTGAGTTCAATGCCACAACCACAAAAACAAATTAAGAAATAAATTCTCCAATTGATAGAGTATTAATCTTAAAGACAATTGAGGAGAAAATAAGCTGGGTTCTTCCCCCTTTCTTGCATAAACAAAAATTCTAGGTGGATAAAAAAAACCTACAATCTTTTAAAAAATTAAAACACTAGAAAGAGAAAAGATAGAAGTGTTTTCTTTTTTCGTTTACTTTTTTGCAGTACTGGGGTTTGAACTCAGGGCCTACACCTTGAGCCACTCCACCAGCCTTTTTTGTGGTAGGTGTTTTTGAAATAGAGTCTCACGAACTGTTTGCCCTGGTTGGCTTCGAACCTGATCCTCCTGATCTCTGCCTCCTGAGTAGCTAGGATTACAGAAGTGAGCCACTGGTGCCAAGGACGGAAGCATGACACAAAACAGAAAAACTATGAAATAAGGGATTTTAAGAAAATAATTCAGAAAAATAGGTAATTTCAGTAAGGTAACAAACAAACTCAGAAGAACAGCAACGCACTGAGAGAAGAGATTTCTCATTCATACACAGTAAAGAGCCGCTTTCCTTACTGCACAAAGCTCTTCCAGCTCACTAAGAAATGCATAATCCTGTACAACTGTGGGCAACAGGCCGATAGACCAGCTCACACAGAGAACACACAAACGGCCTTTAAAAAGATGCAGAGACGCTAGGCCTCACTCTTTACAAGATAAATGCAAAGTAAGCCCATAATGAGATAAACCTTTAGACTGACAAAGATGAAAACGACTGAAAATACTGTATGGTCAAGAGGGTGCAGAAAAGCTGACGCTTACTTGCCAGGTAGGAATAAAAATTAGTAAACCCCTGTGGAACTCACTAAGCGGTATCTATCAAGATTGTACACTCGCAATTCCACTTCACTAAAGATAAAAGAGAAGATTAGTCTTCACAGTGTTGTGTGTAACAGCGAGAGTGGAAACAGCTTCAGTCCAATTCCACCCAGGAGATCAGCTAATAATAAATAACATGCATCAGGGGCTGGGAGCGCAGCACACACACACGCGCACACACACCCCCAATACAGTACTCGGAGATGAACTATATGCACTAAAATACAATGAAGCCCAAATATACATTGCTAAATAGACACAGCTGAGTGGAGAAGAGTCCCTAGAGCATGGTACCTTTAGGGGACGGAGGAGAAGCTACAGTCACATCTACATCTGGACATATATCAGGTAGCTCTAAAAGGACCCAGAAAAACCAGTGTTGGTGTTGCCTCTGAGGAGTAATGGGTAGCTACAAGTAGGACTTAACTTGTTCCTTTAAAATTTTATTCCATGTGTACGTACCACCATTTCTTAAAAGCAATTAAACTTAAAAACAAAATAAAGAAATATATAGCCAGGTGCCAGTGTCCCACGCCTGTAATCCTACCTACTCAGGAGGCAGAGATCAGGAGGATCTTAGTTTGAGGTCAGCCTGGACAAATAGTCTAAGAGATCCCATCTCAAAAATATCCAACACAAAACGGGGCTGGTGGAGTGGCTCAAGTGGTAGAATGTCTGCCTAGCAAGCATGAGGCCCTGAGTTCTAACCCCAGTAATGAAAAAAAAGCCAACAAATCTAATGTATGGTGTTAGAAGTCGGGAAGATAGTACCTTATAACTTGTGCAGCTTTCTCTATTTGTTTTATAGCTTAAAAATTGTACTTTCTAATAAACAGGCAAAATAAATTATATTTGCTATTCAGAAAAAAAAAAGAATCCTATCTAAGGTCAAACAAATGTGCTGGATTAAAAAAAAAAATTGGATAGTTCATCAACTCATCAGACAACAGCCATGAGTGAGCAAGCCTTATTCTCTCTCTCTCTCTCTCTCTCTCTTCTTCTTCACACACACACATACACACAGAGAAAATTAAACATTCGTCCATGATAAAAAGAATAGGACAAGAGGAAAACTCTTAATCTGCTGAAGTGCAACTACCTATAAGAAACCTATACCAAACATCACACTCAATGGTGAGAGGAGGGATCCAGAAAGAATGAAGGATGCTGTTACTAGATAAATGAAAAGTAGACATCTTGAAAAAGAAGATAGGGAAGTTGTCATTCACAAGTGAAATGACTGTGAATAGAGTAAATCTCGCAAGTTTGCTAAATTGAAAGCCACACATATTTCTATATGCCAGCAAGAAACAGGAAGTAGAATGCATGTTAAAGGTGCCATTTACAAAAGCATCAAGAATATATCAAGCACTAGCTGCGCATGTAATTCCAGCACTCTGGGGCTGAGGCAGGAGGATCATGACTTTGAGGTTGATCTGGGTTACATAACAAGTTCAGGACCAGCAATATAATGAGGACACTGTCTCAAAAGAAAAAGTACCTAGTAATGAATCTAATATTTAAAGACTCTATGTAGAAAACCATAAACAATGTTGAAAAAAATGAAAGCTCTAACTAGAAATACATAATTTTTCAGTTTAGAAGTCAGTATTGCAAAGGGAGCTTTTCTACAAATTTCAAATTAATCTATACATTCAATGCAATGCCAAGAAGTATTTTTGTATTAAAACACAAAGGATCAAGAATAGTTCACGCTGGTAGAATGGCTCAAGTGGTAGAGCGGCTGCCTAGCAAGCAGTGAGGCCATAAGTTCAAACCCCAGCACTACACTTAAAAA